GCTACAAATAGCTGATTGGTCCCCATGAGCGATTTAACCCATCCCCCCCGCCCCTCGGACTGTGCGTGTACAAGCGCGTATTTATATCGACCTTTTATGATAAATATTTGAAATTTTCCAACATCCTCTCTGAAGTTCTAATGGCTTGAAATCATCTCCATTTTGATAATTCAGATATTTAACATTATTTTAGATAATAACAGGTCTGCACCCCAATTGTGAATACATTTAGTTTCAATGTTCTATAAACCAATCAGCTATTTGTATAGAAGAGGGGTGTGGCTTATAGGCCAGGTTAGTGTGGAAATACTATAAGTCCAAACTTACCAACAGTTAGACAGTTAGGACTTGATATAATGTTTATTAATTTTTATGTAACACAGACCATAAGGACCTATACAGTACTGTATGTCCATCACTTGACTGATTCACAATTTTCATCACAAAGTTCTCTCATCATCATATTATTAATACCGGTATTTTTTGCAAAAGTAAAATTATTGTCCATGAAAATTTATGATGACCACAGGATTCTTTTGAATTGTGGTTACTAATTCTCTATATACTTTATCAGTTAAACTTACTAACTCTGGTACAGTACTCAGTAGGTGAAGGCTTCAGTACAGTATGTAACACAATGGACAAGTGGAAGTGAAGATGTTTTAAAAGTGGCCAAGAGCAAGTGTTAAGAAATAAAGTGATGGGCATTTGGTTAGGTGGTGGATAAGGTGAAGTTATGATTGTAATTATTGTACTGTACTGACCATTAATTTAAGTGTTTATGGAAGTTGTGATATGTACCCCCATATACAGTATAAGGTAAAACTCATATAGGTATTTAACAAGTCAAGGTAGTGTATAGCACAGCATTACTTTTTTGCAAGTCTGGCAGTTGCACTCAAAATTTTCTGATACCCGGTAAGTTCATAAGGTCTTTGTATTTCTGAGTGCAGTTCTTTAGAGCTGTATATAAATCTGTATTATTCTGTATGTAGCAAAATTTGGAAGAGCCACAGTATTTTGTATTATAGAAGCATTGTTAGAGGATGTAGCTCTTTATATTTTATAGAACGGTGCATCACAGTTCCAGTACTGTAGGTATTTTTATATCATGTAGTTAGTAATGACATTATGGAAAATTGTTCCCACATTAGCTTAACTTTTGTGTTCATAGTCCTTATAATTTAATAATGGTAATACTGTATATGCTTTCATGTGTTGAATATATCATTATTATTATTGACATTTTACCTTTAATTTTGGTATAAGACTAGCACAGTAATATTATTTTTTAATTCCAATACCCAGTGGTTTGCAATACCATTTTGGTACAGTAGTGTCTATTTGTACTATCTCTTAATATTGTGGGGTGGTACCTTCCATGCTGAGGGCTGACTAGCCTATTACAGTATGGGCCATTAACATATCTGACTGATGAGCTCTGCTCTGCCACATGCCATAATAATTAATATGACCCGTTCAAGTTTACCTACCCCAAAGTTTACCTTAGGCTTCTAGGGTAGGAAGATGTTATGTCTGTACTATGAAGTTCTCATTCTTAATAAAATAACATTAATTTATGTACCACAAATCATAAAATTCAACCACACCTAAGAGGAGTAGCAACTTTCTATATATTTATTCCTTTGTACAGGATATATTGTATTATTTATGTTTAAGTACTAATAAATATATATACTACTAATAATACAGTGCCTCAGTTGTCTGAAACTGGTATAAGGACTCTGTCTTTGTTACTACAGTATTAAGGTCTTACATTCTTACATCTGGTTACTATTAGTTAAGCCCCACACAAATGAGGAACTGAAGAATATGGCCAGTGTTTTGTGAAAGTTTAACTATACAGTAGCATACATCAAACTACAGGATTGTTTTACTGTACAGTACAGTATTACATTTAGTAAGAGCATTAGTACTGTATAATGAGTAACCTTTGTCTGTGATTTGTAACATGCTCATAAAGCAAAACTTATTAAAAGGCTTCAGTATCAGAAAATGAGAATTGAGGACAAGAAGTAGTGTCTCAAGCAGTAGTCCAGTTGTCATAGAGTATTCAAAATTCTTAAGCTTAAATAGTCAAGGCATTTTAATCTGTTTAGTGTTTCCTCACACAGTAATTGAGTTTGAAATTATCAGGCTTGATCCTTTGTATTAAAAGTGAAAGATATTAACATACAGTATGATGAGTTTTCTATTTACAGTAGTATATTTATTTGAAGGAAAATGTTAAAAAAAAAAGAAACTACTGATGTAATTACAGTTTCTAATGAGTACTGTAGTCTTGATTCCAGTAATATATAATGATGGTAAAGTTAAATGGATTAATTTGTTTCTATTTTGTCTATTGCTTTGGATTTGTATCATATTGAACTTGTGTATTAATAAAATGAGTTGAGCTTCATGGACTAATTTCCACTTTCTTTGTATGTGTTGTGTTTAAATATTACAAGACTTTATACAGTACAGGATATGTTCTTTTTCTGGTTCTTCTGAAATATTGAACTGTAAGAGTAATAGAGCAATTCCTTGTTATTCACAGTCATGTCTTTTGCGATTTTAATTATTAGTGGTTGGTAGGCAATCAGTCACCACTATTCTGCTCAGGTACATCTCAAAAGTTCTGCGAGCTTCTCCAGCCATAGCACAGCACAAAAAGCTGTGCAGCCCAGTGCTTATGTATCTCTTTTCTTCTCATGAATGTATGCATCCCTCACCACACCACCCTCTGCAACCCTTTGTGTTAGAACTTTAGATAATTTTTCCTGGTCCTGTGGCCTCTAAAGGAAAAGCAAGTGATAATAGTAGTTTTAAGTTTTTTGGTGGAGGACATGCACCAGAAAGAAAAAAAAACCAATGGACCATATTTGTTTAAGAAAAGTAGTAACCTATAAGTGCATGCACCATACCTTTACTGCCAGCAAGGTTAGTTAGACAGTTTTAAGAGATATTATAAGGAAAAAGTTTACTGAAGGCAGCACAAGTGTTGCTCCAGCAGTGAAAAAAGCCAACCAAGATTTAGGAATTATAAAGCGTATCTTCAAATACAAAGACAGGGAAATGCTTTTTCAATTTTATAAATCTCACGGACAGTGAGAGAATGAAGTAGCTTCCCAGCTTTGGCCAAAGTATGATGAAACCTGACTACCCAACTCAGTGGATGGTGTCACTGGCAACCTCTTTCCAAGATTCCACAGGCCTGCCAACTGTTTGATTATGGGCTTCACACATGCATGTGTCAAATGGCTCAATCGTTCTACGATGTATTCGTCAAAACTTCGGGAAGACAGAGCGAGATATGGAAAGGAGGGAGCCAGGAGCTCCCGTTGTCTACACCTTTGATTTCTTTAATAATGTCGACCAAATATTCTTTTACATTTTGTCCGATTGGTGATGACTGCTTCCACATGGCTGGCATCTCCATATTAATGTAAACAAATCTCAAATTTCCATACCAACTTCAGCTGCATTTGCATTGAACTTTTAATTCTGGACCTGCTTAGACCATAACATGAAGAAATTATAATAATAATAAAATGTTTATTAATAGTTGCAACCGGTGGCTGAAAATATACTAACATTTGATTTAGACGTAATATAATATGCGTTGAATACAATTACAGGGCTGTACAGTACATAAATCAGTTGTTTATTATTTTAACAATAGATGGGATGGTGCTATTCTTATATCTATCAGTGCAGGCCCTTATGGGCTAAATTTTGTTGTAGTGGCGGATTGCGCGAGATTAATGACCAACTAGCGTCAAATGCCGTTGTCTGTTGCAACCATCCCAGAAAAGGCTCAAGGTGATCTAGGACAGGGGGGGGGAGCAAGGTTCAAGTTCTGCATCTACACACATTCACTGTCTCGGGGAGGAATTCATCACTGTCATAATTAAAGGTACAGTTTTATCTATCAATTGTTGGCATTTACATTATTCAATGTAAAGTGTGTTCCTTAATGTTTCAATTTCCTGGCCAGGAATGCATTCCTCCTTAATACATGTACAGTATTTCAATGGTTAATTATGTTCTACATAAAGACCAACTAAACTTTTCCCATCATCCATCTTTATTTCCAAACTTGTCAATTTCTAAATGAAATACTATACCCTTCATATTATTACAGGTATCCCACGAATACATTCTTCCTTCTATATTTCGCTTGAACCATGGCGTGTATAAAGATTGCCCTATTTTTAATAAAACAAAAAGGTTCGCATTAACTGGCCAGAATCAAATGTCTGAATAAAAAACACTCTTGCTGCACTCGTCAGCTCGTCTACCCACGTGCCACCACCTGGCGCACTAATCCCAAGCTTTGTTCCATGGTGATCGTATATGACATTACCGTTTAACTCGACAGCTATCATTTTTATTTATCTTACAGCGAGTCATCACGAACATTCACACTAATGTTTTAGCGAGTAAATTTTTTTTTTTTAAACATTTTTGATTTTGTTGTTTTGAGCATGATGCGAGCAGTGTCAGCTATGAACATTGTTTTTATGTTTTCATTGATCACTCTGTTTTTGTGCCTAGTGCTTTCCTTTTGTATTTGCAACCGAAGTGAGCAGTGTAACTCTGAAAATGTCTGGGAGGCCAAGGCACCCAGGAAAACAGTCTCTCTGGAGGTGAAGCTTGACATTGTGAAGCCGTGGGGGAGTCTAGAGTGATATTTCCACTCCACCTTAGCCTCAAAAGGAACATGTGATGATGACCAAGCTTGTTCTTAATGATGTGGGGCAGGAGTTTGAGTATTATGTATATTAATTATCATTGTAGGTATTTTATTTTCAGTCATACATGTGGGCTTCAAGACTGGCTGGGAACATATCTACTTGAACCATACGTTATAATGATTACAATTTCTGATATTTCAACGATGGGTTTTTCACAATAGTAACCTCATTGTAAATTTGGGGATACATGTATTAAAATCCACACGGGAAATGACCAAGGGTATAAATGAAAACCAAATGATATGTAAAATTTCCTTTTATATTACATTTTGCCATTACTTGTCAGCAACCAAGAATCAAGATGTGAAACAGTTGCTATTTTTATACAATATCTACACCACTGGGTTTATAATATATACTTTTCCTGCAGCCTTTTTGTACACCCATAATAATCAAACCCAGTCTATTTTTCTAAAATTTCAAAATGCACCTGAAAAGGTTTAATACAATTCTGCTTCAATGATTTACTCAGGTTTTTGGCTTAATTACCACAAATTTATCCAGAAGTCATTATATTCCTCGACAGAGGTGGACCTTTGCAGCAGACAAATATTCATCTTACCGTAAAAATAATAAATAATATTAATTGACCTCGTCAGTTCTAATTAATTAAAGTCAACCTTAAAAATATACTATTAACTTTGTAGACTTAGCCTACAATAAGTAAATCATCTGTGAAGATGTGTACTGGGACTTCCAAGTTGAGTGGTGCAGGACCCTTGCGAATACGACCAGCTGCATCGTAGTGAGAGCCATGGCAGGGGCAGTAATACCCACCAAAATCACCTACAAAGAAATTGGACAATGTAATATTAAAAAAAAGACTAATATGCAAAATGAGGAAAAAATTAATTGATCATTAAAAAGTCATGACCTGAATACAAATGAAGTTAAATTGTAAAGTGAATTTGAAACTAGAATACCTGGCTCTGTAATCTTCCTCCTAGTAATATTGCTGTGGGTTGAAATTTTTTTTTATACAATCCATCACAATATTTTCTTATTTGTTTTGCCCACATTCCTCCATCTAGTCTACCCATCTGCCAAGTCCCCTTTAAGGCCTACAGGTGATTCACAATATGACATGTAAGATTACCCTACTAGAACACCCACAATCATTCCCAATTCATCTTGAGCATGTTTCACATTTTAACCTCTTCACTACATTACCCCGCTTTTAATATTCTATTTAGTTAACGTCAAACAATTTTAATCAGCACAGTGACAGAGGCTAAGCACTTTTTGTGTATCCACTAGCTTTAATATACACACACCCAAGTTTTCTATTTGTAAAATCTAGTAACCAATCCCTCAAGTGATCTATCAACTAAGGTTTTGTCCACTTTTTTTTTTTACATTCCAAGCAAACAGATTGCTTGGGAAAGCTGATCAATTGCTGATAAGTATACACTTGTAATTTTATTTTAAAGTAACACCAAAATTATTTCTGATAAAAACAAATTACTGACAATTGTCAGTTAAGGGTGGGTTGAACGGGATAAAACATGTGTAAGCTTGCTATAAAAAATAATGGTTGGCAAATTTCAGAACTCTAAAATATTATTAAACGATAAACAGTAATGAAAAGCCTTTGTTAGGAGTTCTTAAAATATGTATTGGAGCAAAATATATATCCTGGCAGCCCAGTGTGAAAATGTCAAAAGTGAAAAAGTGGAAGGAGCTTCTCTACTATTAATCTCCAGTTAGCTACTAGTATTAAAGTTGGCTTAAAATATGAGTTTGGTTTGGCTCCCCAGAGGAGTTCAAATGACAAGCTTCTACAAAAAGGAAGCATGATTAGGCATGGCTTACTTGTGGGTATGAATGACATGGTGGTTGTAGAGATGAATGGATAAAAATAAATGGTAAAGTAGTGTGGGAGATGATTACCGTACAGGAGAGTGGTGATAAAGGGATGTGAAGATAGTGTACATGAAGAAATTATGGAGCAAAAGGAAGAGTAAGAGGTTCTGAGTTGGGCATTAATATGTAGGAATGTGTATAGATGTAATCACTTACATTATATGTGTGGTACGTAATCCAGAGAAAGAATAAAAAGCAAAAACTTACCTGATAGCTATTACTGATTTTGTATCCACTCCTAATATCCTTCCTGATCTTGCCCTAAATTCAATAACTACTGTACTCCCACTGATCCTATCCCACGATGACCTTATTATCATCAGTAAACACATAATTGGGAACTTCAAGGTTGTAAGGTGCAGGGCCCTTCCTAACACGTCCAGATGCATCATAATGTGAACCATGACAAGGACAATAGTAACCACGAAAGCCACCTTAGAAGGGATCCATGAAAAAATTATTACACAGTAACTTATCTTGATGAACAATATGATAAACAATAAAGTTGCAGATATTTTAAATGAAAATTATTGCTCTAAAAGGTGAGACTATGTTTTAAATCAGTGTACTGTATAGTCTTAGGTAGAATACTTTATTGATTAAAAAGTTGTAAAAAACAGGTTAAGTGAATAAACTTTTAATAACATTTGCCTCAAATTTCTAGAATGGTTGTGTCATGTATTATGAAATATGTAGTGTCACAAATGGAAGTGGGAGGATTACGACTCTTGCGCCTGGCAGCTTCTCCCTCCTGTCATGAGGCTATGGAAACGATCGCCTCGGCCATCGTTATACAAGCCCGCCAACACCGCATGCCCACCAATCAGGACAATGGTCCCCGCCCAGAATTTTGTAGTGCATGAACAATATTCCCCGACAGTCCAATAGAGACTGGCGCCTAAAATCGCCTCAGGATAATTCTCCCTCCTTATGAAAACTGTCCTACCCTGTAAACTAAATATTATCAGTTGTGAGTACTAGTGCTACAGTACATGTTGAAGGTTGCATAAAGCAAAGTTAATGCCTTTCACATATCTATTGAATTAAGTGGAGGCGTCCATGCATTACCATAGCGTCCAAGGATGAAAAGTTCCATATCCTAGTGGAGTTTAAGTGAACAGACATTATAATGAATTATCCAAGACAACCCCCCCCCCCCCATCTGTTGTAAGAGATGACTTTGATCATAATAATCGTGTCTCATGTAACTAACTCAACCGAGAGTATTTGAGCAGGGCTCAATGATTCTCGCATCTGATGAAATGTTGTGACGACTTATTCATTCCGAGTACTAGGATGAAGTTTTTATTGATTTTGCTTGAACAAGTACTGTAATGTGTCCGAGTCAAGGGCTTGCTGTCGATTCAAGATGTAGTTTTCTGATGTATATAAATCACTTCTACAGTCTACTGGAAGTGCTGCCTCTGTTTATTACCTTTAAAGATTGGTATGCAGTTTTTGTTTTAAGTAAAGTTTTATTTATACATACAATTTCCTTCTAGTTATTCAGTATTGGTCTTACCATTATAAACTGGCAGAAAACTTTTCAATTCACCTATGTATTCATGGCTTTTTTGTCTTCAGTTACTAATCCAGACAACAGGAAATCCTCTGGACAATGAGGCTTAATAAACAATCTAAAGAAGCTAGGAATGTGTGACAATTGTATAGATTCCACCATTTTTATCAAAATGCTGTAAAATTTTGGCCAATGGGCTCTCTGGCCTAAACTAACCAAATCCTAGTTTGCTATCTTATGTTTTACTGTATATTTTACATTTTCCTGCTATTTGGTGGAAATCCTGAGAAATTCAGTATCTAATAAGTGATCTGATCAGTAATTTGTAAACTTTATTCGATGGTAAACCTCAAGTAACCTAAATACAGAAGCTGCCTACATTTAACATCTTTTGGATAATGATAATGTTTGGAATTAACTGAACTTATCATTGAAGAAAGCTCTCAAGTGTATAATACATAAAGTATCTTGGATATGTGTTTAATGCAAAATATTTATGTAAACATTTCATACTGACACACCAGTTCAAGAGACTGAAGGACACCAAAAGATGAATTTGAGTTCAGCCAGTGTGTGCCATGTGGGAAGAGGCTTGCAAGTGTGAAAGGTAAAAGAAAATGCTGGATGCTTGCTTAGTTAATATACAACTCAATACACTGTATTCCTGAAGGTTAATCCTAAAATCCACATGTGATTTACAGGGATGTATAAAACAAAATGGGTAAACCAAAAGGACATTTTCGGTTATTGTTGAAGAAGGAAACCCATGATATGACGCAAGGTACAGCAGTATTTAAAGGGATGTGGTGTCTGATCCCTTATTGGTGAAAGAACTTACATGAGAGAAAACAATTATTTTCATAAATTATCATAGAAATGTTCAATTTGCAAAATCTTTTAGATAGTAATGATAATGAAATTGATCTCACCGATAACCTTCCTTGTGTTCTCCCCATTCTCCAAGTCTTGTGTATTTACAGCCATAGTATTCCATTCCTGCAACTTAGAACACACAAAATATACACTGATATTTAAGCTATAATTAGATAAACTGACCTGCATCAGCAATTGGTACACATCCCAGGTGGGTACACACACCAAGGACCACCAGCCATTTGGGATCTGTACAGCGAATACTGTCGTGCTCAGGATCACGCAAGCTAGCAACGTCCACATTGCCTTCAGTTTCAATTTCTTCATCGGTCCTAAAATAAGGCTTGTTTTAGAAAGATTTTTTTCCAATCACAAAAGCCATACTCAACCTTCTAATTTATCTTTAACTAAAATCAATTCTAAACAAGTAAATACAACTCAATTCACCAATAGTGTTCACCAGTCACACAACACACTACTGTACTTGTCCTATTTAACTAAAATAACTTTGAATTATCTAGACTCATCCTCATTAAAATATCTAACATCAAAGGACCCTGCATGTAGAACTCTACCTCAGTTCAATCTAAAATCCTATTTACAATACTAAATTTCCTTTTAAAAACATACCTCAACCACTCACAATCCACTTTCCTTATAAAAACTTTTAACACATTCACCATACCACTCCTCCCTTTAAAGCCATGCTACTATCCTTTCTCTCTACCATTATATTTACTGTCTAATCCTACCAATACATTTTTTATATAATCCTTTTCCATTGACCTAAAGATCAACATCTTCATGTTATTTCACAACACCTGCTACAGTGGATGGTACAGGACAATTCAGCCAGCCTGCATCACAAGCTCAAGATGATAGCATCTGCTGGTGAGTACAGTAGTATTTTGTTTACAGTAAAAACCCCAAGTACCAGACTAATTAAGTCACAGCGGTGTCGCTTGTCAGATGGAATCCTTTATTCAGACGTCCGTATCAGCAGGGAGGCACAACTTTTCAAAACAGCCAGCCAGCATATTACAATAACAGATTGGCTTATACTGTATACTATACAGTGTCTAGTATAAGCTCATAATGAATAAGTTAAAGTAAAATAATCATACATTCAGTAAATTGTTGGTTTTTATTTAAATGGCTAATATTCTTTCTAAGAATCATGTTGTTATTTGGACATGTCATTCCTCATGTGTCCGGTATTTGGGGTGTTTACTATATTTATATTTCCTAGCCACTTCACTTTCGTGCTCCTCAGCAACCAGCTCTACCATAGTGGCATCCCCCATTTACGCAAACTTTTCCTGTACTAACCAGATTTTGGTTGTGTTTTTCTGGGTTAGGGATACATATGACCAATACTGGACCCTAGACTGATTTGCAACAAAATGAATATTTTACAGCAAAAGAGTTAAAAAGAGGTAGTAATAAAGGTACCGGCAAATTTGTAATTCGGGAATTATCTCGACTCCACTATTCAGTTTATAAACAATTAGACAAATCCCATTCATCAAAGCTATACAGTCATGCCAATAACCAAAACAAAAAAATTATCTAAAACTCGCTTTGTTTTATAGTGACTCACCTGTGTCTGACAAAAAGAGGTTTGCCTCTCCACTTGAAGGTGACAGACTTTCCCTCGGGAATATCATCGAGCTTAATTTCAATCTTTGCCAAGGCCAACACATCAGCAGTGGCAGACATGGTTGACACAAACTGTGTTACTACTGATTTAGCACTATAAATTCCTCCTACAGTGCCACCTAAATGAGAGAAAATTAGTTAAAATGAATTTCCGTTATGTGGATTCCTAAATGTATACCGGTATACTGTACTGTATTGTACAATCAAATTATTAATTGATGTACAGCCAGTCCAAAAAGCACCGAAACCCCAGGCATCCAAAAGAATGAAACATTGACTAAGACCAATCCAACCAATGTATAAACATGTATGAGGTTATCACTCATTTTCCGTTCCACCAGACCCCGGAGTCTCGATACAGCTTGGGCTGGTTTTATTTCCCTGATATCAACTAATAATCACATCTAACAGCACTAAGAATGGACATGTTGAAACCTAAGAAATCTCGAGCATGAAGTGGCCTTCACAGAAACATAAATGATGCCTTGCTCCTGAACCATTTTATGGTTGAGCCCAAAACTAAGCAACTCCTGAAATCTCTAGTAGCAGGAACAAATCCAAATAATTTTACTTTTCCAATGCAACCCAAGTCTGTGAAAATAGGGAATGGAAGAGTTACAATTTGAAGTAGATGGCTAACAAGTTTTGATATCCTACCATGCACACACCTCGCCCATCAAGTTGGCACTACAGCACTGTATTGGGACTTCCAGGAATCATTCCACTCAGTTCCAAAGAACATATTTTGTGTTCACTTACTTTAACAATTTTTTGTCACCTGTTGGTTCATTTTTCAGTTTTTTGGGGGGATATGTTTTCATTCTTCTATTTGTTTGTGTATATTAGTTGGGTGTAAAAAAGAAAAAAAGAAAATGGAGTTATTTATAAAGTGATTTATGGAGTTCTCTGTTTGAAGTCTTTGAACAAACTTGGAATATTTTACTGAATTGAATAAAGATGGGGAACTATCATTTTACTGAATCAGACAAAACTAAACAAGTTACCAAGTAAGATTAGACATTAAAAAATATGTATGGAGAGACAAAAACAGCCTTCAGTCCATTACTTATGACAAAGAATGACAATTTTAACGAGCTCACAACAGCACAAGCCAATCAACAAAAACAAAATAAAATTTTTTCCATCTGTCAACATCGCAAATACCGAGATTCCCCTGGTAAGCTATCAAATTTATCGGTGTAGGTTATAAACTCCAAGGTTTACTGCCAAGCAAATATTTTCAGGGAATACAATGCTGCTATTATGCATAACTTCTGTCAACCCTTTCAAGGAAAAGGCTCAACCTCTGATGGATAATTTCAGTTTAAGTTTGATTTCAAGAATTTAGGTACTGTACTGCTTAAGTCAAACTTGAGTAGCTTCTTTCAGGATAATGTAACAAAAATAGGACAACAGATTTTTTTTTTTTTATAAATTAGTACAAAAATATGGAAACTGGAAAAAATGCAGCTCCAGCCCAAGATTAACCAATGACATTTAGGGAGTGAATAAGAGTTGCAACAACAGGCAGATTCCATAAACAAATGACCAAATGTTGCTATTGCAAAAGATGATCTGTGACAAAGTCGGCCTTTTTCAAACAATTCTGAGAGTGCGAGCATGTTCTGCGTATCAGAAGCCCAAATAGTAAAAGTTGTTGAGTAACAGTACAGTGTATAATGACTGAGTTGGACTTGTGAAACACACAAGCTCCACATATCCAAACCCCAAACTGGAAAAGAATAAAAATGCAAAACTCAAACAGTTTGAATGAAATTAGATGATCCAATTATGAAATTTAATTGCAGGATCATGCCAAGTATACTGCACAGTGTAGAATAACAAAGTTAAGTATTTACAAAACTATTATTCTACACTGTATATATACTTAACATGATCCTGCTATTAAATTTGAATGGAAAAGACATACAGACAGGATCAAAACAATATACCCATGAAAACCAAAAATACTTTGTAATACACTTACCTCCAACAAGCATGTACGTGAAACTTCTTCGAGAGGATGCGGACTCTCCAGCCTTGCTACGAGAATCCTTTACGTCGTCACGTCGATATGCACCAAAGTCTGGTACTTGGATGTCAGTGTGGGCATAACGTACTTGTGAGCTAGCTGCAGATGATAACACATAATTAGAGAACTTTCCTTGTAAACATAACATGACTGCACTATGAATCTGTCTATACTGTACATTTACTGAAATTTTTAATTTTTAAACAGTGGTTTCCAACCCAAAAGAATCCTAACAAACTAATTGCAATTTGGGGGTCGAAAATGCCAAGTACAGAATGCATGTAAAAATTTCAGCAACAATTCAAGGTAAGTGGCAGTATTCACAGCTTATAAGGATGTCTAAAGCCTACACCTACAATGAAAGTGGGTCCCATAGGCATGACTGCACAGTGTAGATACAATGTATACTAAGCCTTTGGTACACAAGGAGGCATCATGGTCACTTCCCCAAGTTGTAAGCTTAGCATTACAACAAAGGTGTGAAAGACCCCAGTGAAAATGACTTACAATTTGGAGTTATTCAAAATTAGGCAATTATGGATTTAGGAAAAGTACCCAATAACTTTCATGTGTACTGCAGGAAGTAGTGAAAATTTATACACAAAATGAAAGGCAAGGTCGAGATGTAGATTAACCACAAGCTTCATATATTTAGTGAACACAAAATTAGCATCTATGATGACCCTAAGCTACCTGGCCCACACAGCCTACAATAACACGGCCGACTGATGATCATGACACACCAGGCCTCTATATAAAACACGGTTCTCTGAGCTCAACTTTGCATTACTATTGATTGGCGTAGTATTACAAAGCGAATGCTGTATAAAGGAGTACCTGCAATACCGGCTTTTGCTTTAATTGGGCCGGTAGGGCACCTCTTGGCCATGGCGGTGGTTGTAAGGAGCAGAGGTAGAGGTTGAACTACAACCGCCGCCTCCTCAAACGCACCTGGAACAACAGTGTTTCTCAAGCCACTGGCTACTGCCTGTGCCGAGCCCTTGAGGGTAGGGGCCAGTTGGCTTGATCTGCCGATATAGGACAACATTTATACGGTGTTGAACGTCCTTGGTAAACGTGAGTCCACTCTCTCTGGCGACCCTTGGAGACTGCTCGGGTTGCGTCACCAGCTGCTAGATGGCTCTCCAGCTGTATGAAACGCAGCACAGCCGTAGCTAGGCCAATCAGACGCCATGTTGTTACTCAGTGGGTGGGAAGTCTTCTCGGGCTGTCTCCCACATACAGATCGGCTTTAAATGAAAATCACATTATATGGAGAAAATTTTATTCATGAGAGGGTCCTCATATTATTACCAATATGGTACCTCCATGTCACTGGAACGGCTCGGCCAATTAGATGCAATCACCGAGTTGACCAAACTCTACACTGAAACGCAGCAGGGTAATGGTCTAATGGAGATAACTTCAGGAGACAATTGAATATATATATATATATATATATATATATATATATATATATATATATATATATATATATAGAGAGAGAGAGAGAGAGAGAGAGAGAGAGAGAGAGAGAGAGAGTAATAATTTTTATATAGCAATTTTACCAGGATTACCGTAACGTACTTTATTTAATATAATTTATTTCGTTATTTCTCCTCTTACAAGCTCTGTCTGGCGGCCAACCAAAGTGTTCGGACTTTAAAACTTTTTTACACTAAGGTTCCTTGCTGATATCTACTCAAACATATGATACATTATATATTAATTATTTTAAAATCAAAGTACCCATCGGACTATACTTTATTTCTCTCTATTCTGATTTTCATTTAACCAGTAAATTATGAAATAACTTTCATTAAACTACGAATTCCAATGGGAAGGACAACAAGGTAACTACGTAATTGCCGCATCAAGGCTTTACCGGCGTCTGATATTGTGGTCAGTGTTTAGTCAGGGCTGAGGGTCAGCAGTTAATCGTCTGGTGGCGAAGGTGGAGGGTGTGCTCGACTGCTCGGGATTTTTACTTACATTTTTCCTTCGGCATGGTTGCCCACCAAGTGTTATTGGTTGTTTTGATTGTGGTGAGTATTTAGAGAGGACAAGTAAAGTGAAATTTTTATACTCCTTTACTTTTGTTAAATTTTCGTTGGAAAACCGGCTCAGGGTATGGGTATGTGAATCCAGTCGTTCTAGTGTAAACCTAATATGGGTAAAGCTTCGATTCACATTGTGATAAGTTTCTGTATTTAAAAATTAATGAAATTGAATGTTGCCTTCACAATTTTGAAAATTAGTGTCGAAAATGGACGAACGAAACCTTGCCGTATTGGATATGTACTGTACAGTATGTTGCTTTCCGTTGGAGGCTGCCAGCTGCCATTTGGAATTGGTTAATATTCCGTAGCGACCATTTGCTGAACTTCATATTGATTCTCTTAAAGGGAGATAAACGGGAAAAAAACTAAAAATTCTGGACTATTTTTTCCGCGTTATTTATACGTTTAGATTTAACTTGTATCCTATATATATTGTAACTGCGGATCAGCGGAAGTGTCAATGTTTCATGAATTTGCATTATTGGGTAGATTGCTTTTGTCTGTGAAGGCTGTTCGTTGGGAGATTTTAGAGTATTTGAGAAAAGCCGCAGCTGGTGACATCATTAGGTCTCGTGGTGTTATCCTTGGTTCAGTAAAGTGTCCAAGGTATAATTTAAGACCGTATCGTCAATCCTCTTTTATCTGGTAATTAAGTTAAGCTTTGGTCAGGTAAAGTTAGATTAGGTTTACACACCGGGGGCCCGGGATAAGTTTGGTCAATTGGTTTCTCTGGTAAAAGTAACCTGGCCAGCCAACTGAGCTGAGGGGTTATGGGGGGCGCTGCAAGGGTGTACCTCCAACTCGGCCCATCTTAAATAACCAACTCTGCCCATCTTGCACACTACAAACAAGTAGCCGACTAGAGGTTCAGGATTGAGTAAGATTTGTATTCTCTTTTGGTTCACTGAAATGCGAAGTCGCTTGATGTTGGTGTTAGATTACAGGATCAGTCAGGTTTCGAGTCCTGACCCTGGCTGACCAATGCATGGTGTGCATGGCAAGAGTGCGTCCCCGACAGGAAGGACTCCAGTGCGATGGTTGCAATTCCCGACAGTACCGGACATGTGGGATAGGCATAATCAGTTATCCAACCTAAGGCAGAGAGTACTAGGATTGCAGAACATTTTCGGGAAGAAATTATGGAAGCTAATTGTATTGCTGGAGCAACAGGGACTGCTGGTGCATCTTATCAGTATCCAAGATCCCCTACCCAGAGAAATACAGCCAAGAACTGAGAACATAACTCGAGATAGCGTTAGCGTCGTCCCAGAGAGAAAAAAATAAATTGGTAGACAGCCTTGGATATGCTTACACAGTAAAAAGAAACTGCTGCTATCCATTGGCGTAATGCAGGGCATTGGTATGCCGTCGCTACTTTAAGGGTGTTATTGTAAGGCGTTTTAAGATGCATGGAATAGCTAACACGTTAGCTTTCCCGGATTGTCATTAAAAAATACATTGTACCGCGTCTTCGGGATAGCTGTTGGACAACAGTCTTCATAAAACAATAAAATTAGGAAAACTTTATTTGGACACAATACGGAAACCGTGAAGAAAATATATTGACACTTATGGAAGGAAGACAAAAATGGAAAAAAAAATCCGTCAACAATAAATAAGAATAAAAAAAAAAAAATCTGGTCCGTTGTAAAGGTATTTCTCCCGGACTCTTAAACCACACGAAACAGAGCAGCTCTACACTACTTCTCTCGGCTAGGTGTTCGCACATTTGTGCACGAAATGCGACAAATTTCAAGTTCTTTATATTCTTATTTTTAAAACTTCCACAACTAATCAACTTGTCCAACCTTATTTGAAGTATCTTATGAGTAATGATATTTGTTTAAAACATATTGGAATAAATATCAATATTGTTACACCAAAGTCACCAATGGCTAATGAGTGGACAGCACCCACTTATAAAGGGCGGAGCCAAAACGGGTTTAAACTAGGTGCAATACTTTTCAATTCTTTAATGCAGCTCTTCAGCATTCATGCCTTTGTAAAATGATGGCAACTTAGAGCAAGTCCCACCTTTATTTCCTCGGATGCCTGGGAAAAAGAGGTCAAGACGAGAATGTATTAAAAGTGACCAGGGAGCTTCTTGGTGAGCAGGTGGCTGTACAGGAACTTACTGTTTATTTCGAATCTGCTGCTTGGCGAGCTGTTCCAGATATCCTGCCAGGTATCATCCGTGGGTGTAATTTTCATTGGGGGCTGGCTGTGTGGAGGAAAGTTCAAGAACGAACTTCAAACTACATACACGAATAATGTGCTAACACAGATACGTAAGGGTGCTTTCTCTCCTTTGTTCCTGATGAACATATCGAACTATTTCTACATCTCTACTGTGATGCTGTAACAGAACCGTTAATCAATCTAATGGAATACATTAAAAATACTTTTAAAAAAATCGGATATCTGGGCCAATATCAAGGGCATTTTGAAGCCATGTGCACCTGTTATGAGGAGATAATCGAAAGGTCAATATTAATTGTTTTATTATACAAAAATGGCTGAATACAATACTGCATTGTCATAGGGAGATTCGGCCCCGAAAAATACGTCTTAGTATTTCCGTTGGGAATTTACAATTTTAGTTTTTCTGACATTGATTTCAGGTTTGGTTAGGCGGTTAGATCTTGTCCTAATGGTTTCTCTGGTTAGGCATGTATGCTCCTATAGTAAAAAAAATAACGTAGTGAATATAGGTACTTCAGCTTTACGTCAAAAATCACACTGGATATAGGTACGGCAGCCATATTGACACTGCTGTTATTGGCCAAGTTATTCAGAAAAGACCGTCTTTGTAACTAATCATTGTATAGTCTGCTCACCATGCATGAGCTTTAGGCTGCCATACCAATGAATATTGACGTTTTGCATATGGCTACCGTAAGTATATTAAGTCGGTGATACTTAACGGGTGTGTTTACCCCAATAATTTTTTTATAAATTGATTATCAAAGTGATTTTGCTCCTGAACTTCCTCCTGCAATATGATTTCTACCTGTTAAAATTAATTACATGGTGTGTTGTCTGAACTTATCCATCCGACTCCACCAGAATGAGGAGTAGCCCTATGATTTAATTGAACCATGCCAGTTATGTGGCAGGGGACCCCTTAGTATACCTCATCCTAAAATTTGACGTTTGACACCGGAGTGATGTATAGTTCATATGAAAAAAATCGGCAATGAGGATTGATAGTGAAGTTGTAATGATGTTCTTTCAGTGTTTCGTAAAGGGGTCGCTGCAGCAACATGTTCATCCACAGCCCTACCCTCCAGTGAACCCCTATGTCCAAGCTGCCCCACAACTGCAGCCTCAACCACCGCAGCAGGGTCACCAACCACCGCAGCAGGGTCACCAACCACCGCAGCAGGGTCACCAACCACAGCCTCAACCACAGCAGCATGGACATCAGCCTCTACTACCACAAGACCCTATACACCAACCTCAATCCATCCCAAGACCACAGGGCTTGAGACCTGCTAAGCCTGTGCGAGCCTCTGGTTAGTACTAGCTGTGTGTGGAGGATAAGTGACTGGGGTCTTGTAAACATAAAAAGCTTAGACGTTATGGCCAGTAGTTATAGGTTTAGTCAAAACGAAACCAAGAAAATTTATAGCTAAAATGGGGAATATTGACGATTTAACTAGAATTAATTATGTAAGCAATTAACCTTACATTAATTTGAAAAGTTGTATGGCAGCATTGTTACATTTCAGTAAGGATATTTTAAATTTGGGCTACTGAATAGGTAAATGTTGGTAGCAGTATATTTTATTGAAGCTCTAGGCTTCAAAATAATATATTGGAACCAATATCAAAAGGTTTATTAGGTTGAAGTCCGTTTCTTCTGGCAAGGAAATTAGTGGATTCAGTTTGTATAAATTTTATGCTCACTTTTGTTAGATCTTCAGGTACAAATTTATTTCAGTGTATAGTTTCCAGACCTTGAGACTGACTACATGTACCGGGTGTTTACAGAATTGTCAAGTGGGCAGACATTGGCAGGCAAATCTGAACATATCTTGAGCCAGAGCAATCTGCTGGGAGAGAGGGTGGAACGGCGGGTGGAAGAGACACTGGTGCAGTGCCTTAAGACACACATGCTAGTCACCTTCAGGTAGGTCATCTTCCCCCCTCCCCCCACGTACATATGAATGGGAGGAAACTACCCATGTTGCAGGGCTTGAAAACTGTCACATTATTTGACATATTTTACAGACTATTGAACTGTACATGTTTTTTACCCTCGTCAGAAATGCATTTTATCATATTCGGGGGCGGATCCAAGTATATCAAAGGGGGATCCAAGAAGTTGTGGGTGGGGGTTCATGGCGAGCACAGAGTCCAGCCCACCCATCGGGGGGATGATTTTTTTTGGAGGGAGGGGGGATACAGTGCCCCTCCCCCCCCCCCTCGAGTTATTTTTAATCATACCAATATGGGCTTTGTGAGGCCATTTTCTTTATCCTCTTCACCACTGATCGGCTCGTTAGCCGCTTGAGCGATGTACACTTGATATTAGCAATTACTATTAAGGTCAATAGTAATTTACTTTTACTATACAAAAATGCCCGAGTACAGTAGTGCATTAAATAAAAAGTATCGGAATTTTTTCATGAAAAGGGGGATATGGATCCCCGGATCCACCCCTGCCATCTTTGTCCAATACTCGATGAGAAGCAATTGTCTCGGTTTGGTCTGCGCAAATACTATGTACAGCTTTTGACTGACAGGCTGTTGTGTAGTGTTTGGCACACTTGTGTTCCTTGCAACCATACTGCCCTTAAATGTGGTCACTTAATTCTAGGGGTACTTAACCTAAAGTCGCTGCTACCAGACCACATGGACAGTATATGTGTGGGGTTTTGTTTTTGTTAGGTAGCTGGCAGAGCAAACCAGGCACTGTGAGTTCGTGTTCTTCATTAATCAAGTGAGTGGAAGGAAAGGTGAAACAACAACAAAGACTAAGTAATTAATTATTAATATAAAAATACTGCGTTCCGTCACAATACCAATAGTTAACCTTCCCCAAATAAACTATTACCCGACTTTCTCCAAATAATTAAGGTCTTCCCTCCCCATACAAATCATTGACCTCCTCCTCTCACACGTACCAATCGTTGAACACGTTCATTAGATTTTCTGATCATTGCACTGTCAGTGGTCATACGCCATATGGGGTAACGAGGTGTACTAAGCTCACACCGAGGTGTACAAGATATTTTCTTCTAAGTATAGTTTCTGGATCACTTCGAACACTTCACATATGTCTAATACATTTATCCCTTCTCCAGATCATTGTTCTCGTATATTTTCATGATACCTGAGGTAGCTATGCTTACTAATCGTTCAGACGTAAATATTATGACCAGACACGGTCTACACTTTCCCTTATAGTACACTAGTCCGTATCAATTGGACCTTCCCAATCATATAAACACCTTGCTTTCTCCTTAATACTATAAATACATACTCTTAATATTATATGACCGTACATTGGTACAATTCGTATAACACAGACAGCAGGTGAGTTATCCCTTATAAAAGTTTCATGTTTTCTATCGTTTTCTGTGACTACAAGCGCGGTGGATATGAATGTTATGTAGTGTAATATGAATTGAAGAGATTTTAAGGATGACAATGATGTGCGCAGTACACTCCATCGGGTTTTAAGTTAACTCTGGACTAAGACTTTTTCTCAGACGAGTTTTTATTTCATCTAAATGTTTAATTTCGGTGTGAGATGCTTGGAACAGATTACTCAGTTGAGTGTCCTTATCTGGAGCTGGCGGACGCTCGCCAAGGGGTCACTGCTCAAGGTTGAAGTAGCCACAGGCCCTGAAAACCGTGAGGGGTAACTTTTTTGGAGTGAGTTGTGAACTCTTGGAACAATCTGCCAGTGTTATGAGTGTGAGCTCTTTAAAGACCAGACTTGACCAACACTGGAGCAGGTTCAAATACAATCAGGAGCCGGTGCATGCCCGGTACTTGCTAACAGTGCGTCACAGATGTGACCGATCGCTCAACCGGCTAACAGCCGATCAGTGGTGAAGATAAAAGTAAAGGACAACATAGCTAGTTCCGATTTTTACCAGTTTTAGTCTCCAATATTGATAATGTAAATTTCCATCGTACTCGTGGTTGAGTCTTCCCACTGCTAAGTAGACCATTCTTCCTCAGGTTCTCGGCACCATTCTCGGGGTATATCTACCCCTACCAACACTTTAGCCAGTGTATGCTCTTCCGTGGCCAGAACTCACGGGAGACAAGTCTCCAGCTGAAGCATGGCACTTGTGGTGACCTGGAGAACCGGATAGTTCATCAGGGAAGGTCTTACCTTGACCCTATCATTGAGGTTGGTTTAGCTCCACTTTTTTCAGACCAACTTATCAAATTGAATTTGAATATACAGGACAGTATACTGAAGTATTAAACTAAATAAATACCTGGTGAACAATTTAATTAGAACACAGTGTACTGTACATGATTCTGATAAGTGTAAAAAAAAAAATAGACTGGATATATATGTTAGGCTCAGAAAACGAAAGCGACCACAACGCGTTGTGGTTTTCAAAATAACCAGAAAGCAAAATTTTGCGTCTGGATTTTACCTTAACCCAATCCAAGCTAACCTAACCTATAGCAAATTCTCGCTTCTGGTTATTTTCCAAACACACTTTTCGGTTTCTGAGCCCAACATATTCATAAAACATACAACAGATCAGCCAAATTTGATTATCTTTTGTATTTATGAGAAAGATCTTGAATGCGAATAGGATATGGGAAGTGGTTACTATATATTTTCCGAGTTAATTATTTTAGTTTGATAAACATGTTGGTATAATTTAGAGATTATTTTTCCTCTGTTCAGCATCGGTTGATGGTCCAGTGGGAGCCAGACATAGTGTGTGAGGATGACTCCAGTGTGATTGTCCGCTGTGACCGCCCTGATGATTACAACAAAACAGTGGAGTGGAATCTTGAGACACAGAGCTTAAGAGCCACGCTGGAGCGGTCAACCCATCCTGGTATGTTAATACTGTGGTGCCACTTACTACTTTCTTATGGCTAAATAAGGGGTACACATAAGGGGTGGATTGACCATGTTATCCATAATCAAACTAGGCCTCATCTTGTTAGGTACAAAATGAGATATACAAATTAACCCAGATGGTTTGTGTGCGCTTGACATCACATCTGATGGGTTGAAATAGGATAAGTATACAGAAAGTTGCTAGTTTACATTAGGGGTTTGTCAATAGAAAATGTAACCTGAAGACACATTTTTCTTAAGACTTTGGTATAATTTGGTGCTACATACCTGGGGAAAATTTTTGGAATAACTAAATTTGAGCCTTGGTTCACTAAATTTTGGCCGAATTAAACAAATGGATACAAAACAAATGAAATGCATAGCTAGACCATTAAAGTGTCTAGAAGAGGTGTGAGTGGAGGAGTTACTGGGAAGGCGAGGTAGACCTTGCTTCATCAGAAAATAGTTGGTGCACATGTAGGAAGTTCATCCAGGGCCGGATTCAGGAGTGGGCAAAGTGGGCAGCTGCCCAGGGGCCTCCACATGTGCGGTAGTAGCTATATCAGGGCTGGTCGACTTGAAACCACATGAATGGTTCCAGTCATGTCTCACTTTTTTGTGTGTTGGGAATTTGTACACTATCAATAAATATACAGTTAATTAAAAATTTCTCAACGTTCTAATTTCCTCAGTATAACTGCATATGGCTTCAAGATTCTCCAAAGAAGTGTTCAAATTTCAAAATTTTCCTGGGGGGGGGGGAAGACTTATAGTGCCCCCCGGAACTCCCAGGTGTTTAGGCTCGCTTCACTCGCCACCCCACCCTCTTTTTACTTTTTTACTTTTATCCTCTTCGCCATTGATCGGCTTGTTAGGCGCTTGGGCGATCGGTCACGTCTCTTTTCATTTATATTCTTCACCAAAAGATCGGCTCGCTAGCCGCCCGGGCGATCGGTCACGTCTCTGTCACGCACTGTTGGCAAATACTGGGCATGCACCGGCTCCTGAATGTACCTGAACCCGCTCCAGTGTTGGTCAAGTCTTCTCTTGAAAGAGCTCGCACTCGGTGCCGTCACAACACACACTGGTAGATTGTTCCAAGAGTTTACAACCCTCACTCCGAAAAAGTTTGCCCTCACGGTTTTCTGGACTTGCGGCTTCTTCAATCTTGAGCTGTGACCCCTTGTGGGGCGAGCGTCCGCCAGCTCCAAGTAAGGACACTCAACTGAGTAGTGCCCCCTGAGATGCTTATAAACCTCAACTAGGTCCCCCCTTGCCCGTCTGTAGTATAAGCTAGGCAAGTTCAGGCGCTCCAATCTCTCAGGGTAGCTGAGGTGCCGAAGTGCAGGCACCAGTTTGGTGGCCCTCCTTTGAACATTTTCAACCAACTGACAGTCCCTAGCATATCTCGGGGACCAGATGGGGTGACAGTACTCCAGATGGGGAAGCACTTCACTCCTGAAGATCGTCACGAGGGACGGACCGTCTAGATATCTGAACGACCTTCTTATAAGACCCAATAATTTATTTGCCTGATTTACCTTCTTCTCACAATGGCCCGAGAACTTCAGCTCATTGTCAACATACACACCTAGGTCCTTCTCACACACAGTCTCAACTAGTACATTTTCTTCATCCCGTTGGGACATATGATACGCCTCCTTACCGTTGGTACGCCCCAGGTGCATCCTCTTACACTTCGTGACATTGAATCTCAGCAGCCATTCCTTCGACCATTCCTGGAGCCCACAGAGGTCCTTCTGCAGCTCTTCACAGTCCGCTTGGTTCTTAATTTCTTGGGTAGTTATGAGGGGGGGCCTCGACAAAGAGGCTGCCCATGGGCCTCCACAGGTCTAAATCCGGCACCGAGTTCATCACCTATGGTTGTGGGTCTTTTGAAAGATTTAACAAGTAGGTTGTATCACTTGATGCTCTCCTAGCTGGCCAAATATATTCAATTGAGGATTCGGCCGATTGGGGTGTGGCATTGCCAGCTTTGAACACTTGGCTGGTAACCTTGTGGGGTTCAAGATGTTTGGTTCACACTCAGGATGGGTTGGAGAAAGGAAACTCACAATGTGCTCTATATACATGTTGTATTGGATGTACAATGCAGCTTGGTGCTGGGAAGGCAGCATGGTTACAAGCGTGATGTAGAGAGAGCTGGTTGGTGAGGACGCTCAGAGAAGGACAGCTTGTGGGTCGCCATGCTCGCCGGCGGGAGAGAGGACCGCCAGGCAGGCGGAGGAGCAGCAGCGAGGGCCGCCAGGCAGGCGGAGGAGGAGGAGGAGGATGTTGCTGGCTGGTTGATTGGTGTAGGTAGAAAGAGACAGGTCTCCACGAGGTCAGGTCTTAAATAGCGGGGGGTAGGCGTGGCTTAATAGTTGACCCCTGTTCCGTGATGTATGGCGGCGCTGGTTGACCTAGACCACGAGGCATACATTAGGGAATTGGTGGGGTCGGCTACTCAGCGACAAACAGTGTTTGTAGGGGAGAAATCCACTACAACCTGTTGCCACGTGAAGTTTTCCGACTCGTGGTTTGAAGTTGAGTGCTCCTTATGGCAGGAAACCAATACACCCACTGTATATTGTTGGACAGGCAAAATTTGTATTCAGTCTAAGGGTGATGCCATGGCCAGCCACTGTAACTCCATCATTATTGCCTAAGTACTGTATTTACATTTATTTAAGGGTTTCTTTGACACTGAGTATTAAAATGAGAACTACATTCATCAGTGGTAACCGTATTAAATATCAATGTTTGGGAAAGGAACGTAAGTGGGGTTTAAGGAATGTATAATGACAGTTCCATGTGCTGAAGCGGGTGACAGCGGTACTTCTGCCAAGTGTTGTAAATTTTGTTTGTTTTACGGGAATTAGTCCACCCGGGCACAGGTCAAACGACCCACAACGGAGCCTAGGGGGCGAAAAAAAAAGAACGGAAAGAAATTGTAGATATAGAAAAAAAAAGGTTATACTGTATTAATCTACACCACGAAGATGCCGGAAAACCAGCTTTTTAAAGTGAGACAGATTGTAAGAGCATGGAAACACAGAAGGCAAGACGTGTGTTACGAACCCACGGCCTTGCCGGCTGTACACAGGATGCCAACTCCACTGAACATTGCCCGTTAAAGTACCTGTAAAAGAGAGAGTGAAGCAACATTGCGGCGAAGAGAAAGGGAAGAGAGATTGTCGACTAAAGGAGGAGAGTTAATAAGACGAAATGCCTTTGATTCCACCCTATCTAATAGTTGGACAGAAGAGCCACCCCAGATATGAGAGCAGTACTCCAAGTTAGGACGAATGAATCTCTTATATACTTGGAGCAACTGCTCAGGAGTGAAGTAGCTGCGGCATCTGTACAGCATTCCCAACTTTCGGGAGGCAGCTTTACTTATACTAAGGATCTTGATAAAATCACACGGGTAAATGGAAACAACGGAGTTGTTCCATTTTCCCGTGTGATTTTATCAAGATTTATCTTATCCACGTTTTCATGGTGGATTTACATGATATACTAAGGATGTGTGATTTCCAGGACATATTGGAGGAAATGGTGAGGCCTAACATTTATTTCAGTATTTGGGAGGATGATAGCCTCCTGTAAGTGTAATTGGTGATTTTGTACAGTACAACACTGTTACACTACATCGAAGACGAGACTTGACCAACACTGGCACATGTTCAGGTACATTTCTTGACAGTGATTGTCAATAGTATGTAACCAGTATGAATTTATCAAAATGGATAAGACCACCATAGAAGGTGTACTGTACTTTCAAATTAGTAAAATGTTTTTACTGTAATAGCAGGATCATGGAATTGTACATACACTACAGTATAGCTAGATCAGACTTCTTTATCCATGCAGTCCAGTAAATGGTTACACGTGTTGTAAATTGTAGTACAGTAGTGACTTCATACTATAGATTGTCATGAGCGAGTCATTTACAGTTGGAAAATGGCTTCAAATGTTTGGTTGTCATCCCAAAACTGGTAAAATGTTTTTTTTTTCCTTTATTACTTACTTTCTTACTTTTATCATCTTCACTGATCGTCTCGTTAGCCGCTTGGGCGATCGGTCGCGTCGCTGTTACGCCCCTTGAGATGCTTATACACCTTGATTAGGTCACCCCTGCCCGTCTGTAGTATAAGCTAGGCAAGTTCAGGCGCCCCAATCTCTCGGGGTAGCCGAGGTGCAGGCACCAGTCTGGTGGCCCCCATTTGAACATTTTCAATCAACTGACAAGTCTCTAGTATATCTCGGTGACCGGAGTGGGTGACAGTACTCCAAATGGGGGAAGCACTTCACTCTTGAAGATATCTGAATGACCTTATGAGACCTAAAATTTTATTTGCCTGATTTACCTTCTTGCATGGCCTCCATGCACTGCAGGATTCTGTAGATAGAAATCAGAATTTTATTTGAAACATTGTATATTGAATAATCGGATTTTCAAATTTAAGTAATTCTGGTCCCCATTAGGCGTTTTCGATTTTTGGTGAAGTGTTCAGTGATTGTCAATTCTTAATGACATAACCAGTTACCATTATTCATATTAGGCCCCAAGATGTGGATGGAGATTCAGCGAGGTGAAGGTCCAACTGCCCCACCACTCGCAGAGGAGTTGGTATATATTGGAGATGTCCTGACACTGGTGTTCACCCTCTCTGATGATGTCTATTGGTTTGACTCCAATATCTTGGCGTGCTATGCTGTGGATGGTAAGTGTATAGCAATTATGTTATCTAATTCTTATATATATATATATATATATATATATATATATATATATATATATATATATGCAAGTAAATCACTGTAGGTGCGTGTGATCCAGGTATATGCTGGTAACCACAAAGAAAGAAGAAAACACGAAGTTCACAAGCGCTTTCGTGTAATTTACATCTTCAGGGGTAGGTACTCACCCCTGAAGATGTGAATTACACGAAAGTGCTTGGGAACTTCGTGTTTCCTTCTTTCCTTGTGGTCATCAGTATATATATATATATATATATATATATATATATATATGTGGACTGGACCTGAATGTGGATATGGATATGAGTGTAGTGTATATAGATGTAGATGTAATATGTATGTGGATATATGGATATGGATATATATGTATATATGAATGTATAGTGTATGTATATGGATATATATATATATAGACTGTATATATATATATGGGCTATATATATATGAATATATATATAGATATATATATGAATATATAGATATATATATATGGTGGAATATGTATATGAGAGATGTATATATATATGAGAGAGATGTATATAGAGATGTGTATATATATATAGAGATATATAGGGATGTATATAGGGAATGTATATATATATATATATATATGTAGAGATGTATATATATATACAGTATGAGATAATATATATATATATATGCAGTATAGAGATGTATATATATATATATAGAGATATATAGAGATGTATATATATATATATAGAGAGATATATAGAGATGTATATATATAATAGAGATATATAGAGATATATATATATATATATATATTTAGAATATATATATATATAGAGATATATATATATATATGTATATATATATAGAGATATATATATAGGTATATAGAGATATATATATATATAGATATATATATATATAGATATATATATAGATATATATATATATAGATATATATATAGATATATATATATATAGATATATATATATATAGATATATATATAGATATATATATATATAGATATATATATATATATAGATATATATATATATATATAGAGATATATATAGATATATATAGATATATATAGATAGAGATATAGAGATAGTGGTCCCCAAAACACTTGGGATGTCTACTGAAAGGGGCCAAAAAGTAGGATTCAGTATGGATTGAAATATACTACAGGTGTTGACCGTTATATGGCACCTTCTGTTTCCACTAGAAAACTTGATGAACCTCTGGAGATGCAATGAATCTTAAAATGCTTTTGCATGAAGATTGCCAAACAAGAACCAGCATAGTGCTTCTGCTGGCAGAAGTAGTTATGAGGTCTTAAAATAGAGAACAATGTGTAGGATACACTGAAAAAAAAGTTATCAGTGGCAGGTAATACAGTATAAATAATTTATCATTCCTCCGAAAATAATCAGGGTAAGGGCATTTTCACTATTGTAGCAAATGTATAATTTGGTTCCTTTTGTTGATACCTGTATACTGAATTGGACAAGGAGCGAGTTTCCAGAAGGTGATAGCATCTTTGTCCTTTAAATAGTGTTCTAGTTCTTCTTTAACCCTTTTGATTGCTAAAGGTTCCCCTCAGCTGAGTAAAATTGTCTGGTGTTAGCCAGAATAAAACCTTGGTCGTTCTTAGCACTGGGAAGGTTAATGTAATTTAAAATGTCAAATTCTTGTACAGAAACATGAAATCTTGCTAAACTTAAGAATTGACATTAATGACAGGTGATTACTGGAAAATATAGTTAATAGCCAAATTTTGGAATTTCAGGTGGAGAGGACATTAAACAGATAGAATGGGATTCTAGTGAGCATAAACAAATTGATGCCAGATCCCGGGTGTATAGTGGAGAAACTACTGTCATAGAAGAGGGATGTTCAGTCAAACCCAAAATATTTTCTCATTTTCTGAAGGAGAAGCACACAAGACCTAATGGAGACTTGGTCACCTTGCATTATGCACATTTCAAGGTAAGAACAGCTGTTGGACGTATAAACTTTGCCGGAGTTCAGGTAGTGTCAGTACAACTTTAGAGTGCAAGGTTTTACTGTAGAATTAAGAAGCTCATGTCATGGATTTCAGAAAATTAATTTGTTATATTTTAGCATACAGTCAAGGATTGAAGAAATGCATGCTTTTCTAGTCATTGTTCGTTTGGTAAAAAATCTGCTTTAAGGTGTTCAATATTGGATCATTGGTAGTGTATCTGAAATTGTTTAACAGAAAGATCTTGCTAACTAAAATTGGCAGGCTTTCAGATTTCCAACATCATTGAAGATTATTATACAGTGCAACGTGCAAGTGTGCTACAAGGAATGTCCTGAACCCCTACCTTGCTCGTAAGTGAGACCTGTTCGGTATGTCGATGTGGTAATTTTATTCGTGAAGTTTAGATGACCACACTTCCACTAGAAATATTCTTTAGGATTTTAGTAAATTTTTAAGCAGAATTTCTTTTGTTGTAAGACCTATATCTGTACAAGACTGTAATAACTTTTACTCAACTTAGGTGAAGTTTAGAACTCGGATTTGAAGAAAGTTAAAATAAGCAAACTTGATTAGTTTTGACTACTCCCAAGAGCTAATTAATGATTTTTTCTTAGTGTGGCTTTCCATCCAAGACGATTCGAAGAACAAAAACAGCGAAGGCGGCGTGAAGCCGCAGCAGCAGCTGAAGATGGTGCTCATGAGGTTGATAAAGTCCAGCTCCATCGTTCTATCGATGTCTTCATGGCAGAAGAGGGTGGTGAAAAAAGTAAGCTTAGGGAAGAGTTGAGCTATAAAGATAGGTTTCTTCTCGTGAATAATAATTAACCGATAGTTAAAATATCTATTGAACTACTGTAATTAGATGAGAAGGCTTGTGTATAAACAAATATTCCAAGAATTGGAGAGGGTATTCATTCCCTTCACTACAGGGATGTGTATTTAATATATTTTAATTGGCTGATGCTAGGTAATTTATTCAGCATAGAAGGAATACCAGACACATGGAGTTACTGTAAGGTAACTAATCTTGCACCTGTCCCTAACATAAGTACATAATTGGACAATGCTTTGATAATATATTTTCTGAAATATAAATAATACAATAAATGTTAATGCAACAATCTCTGGCTACCATATCATATGTTTTTGATTTCTGACTTGTCCATAATTATGTATGTTAGTCAGAGGTCTCCTGTATCTAATATTGCGAGAGTTTAATGTACAGTACTCTTAATATTTTTGTAGATGTAAATAGAAACCTTATGCCAAAAGCCCGTCTAAACAAGTTTCAGTTGACAGTAATTTTCTTCCTGAAGTCGAAATTTATGACAACTGCTTGCCATATCAAATATGTATTTTTTTCATTGTGGAATATATTTTTTTAACCTTGGTTAAACCCTTTCCACTATAATGTTAGGGTAACAGGAACAGAGACCAGCCTGGGGTAATGGATTACTGTACAGCTATATGGTAAAATCACTTTGATATCAAATTGAGTAAAAGGACATATGACATGCGAGTGTAAGAATCAACAAAGGATTTTTTAGCTTGGTGTCCAGTTTTTTCATAACAGGAATACTATATATAATTGTGTAAAATTTCCCATCATTTTGTTTTGAACACTTAATATACTGTTCATGTACCAGGTAAATATATTTAGCTACATGCCTCTTGTATATAAGCTATGTATGACTTGGCTTGTGATCAAATTTCTCTAATTTTCTTTATAAATGAATTCTTTTCTGATTGAACTTTTTTTTTCAGAAATAAATGTAAATTCGCCCAGTGTTGCTCAACCACTGCAGGACTTCTGTTACAGCCCTACGGTATATTACGCGACTGTGATTGGCCTAGTTTCTGTTATTGTGATACTTCTAATAGTTTTATGTTTTTCATGTTTAAGAGAGCGTTTCCACAAGTCATCTTTCTTTACTCCAACAAAACATCAAAAATGATGTTATTCCAACTAGTTACTCCATGCTTTAATATATCTTCACAATATTCTAGTTTTGGCTTTTAATAAAATAAAATTTATACTACTGTATACATCTTTTTATTTGTAGCCTAAAATACTTAGGAATCTAAATTGTTTTTCACACCCCAGTGACTGATAAAGAAAATGTCTGAACTCGATTCACTTCAGTGAGTCCATTGGGCTCATCCAGTATGGACTTCTCTAAAAGGCCATATTCAAGTAATGTAGTCACTTCAAAGTTTGTCTTGGTTCAGTTTTAATGTTCAACTCGTAGCTGGTGCTTTTTTTTTTTATATTTTATCCTCTTCACCGCTGATCAGCTTGTTAGCCGCTTGGGTGGTTTTTGTTATTTATGGGGAATAGCACACCCAGGCACAGGTCATTGACCCACAATGGGGCAAAAATATAAGTGAAAAGAAACGAAAACTAGAAGCGACTACCAGGTAAATTAATTTGCACCACGAATGTCAGAAAACCAGCTTTTTGAAGTGAGACAGTTTAATATTTTTAATTGAATCATTATTGAGAGAAGATAAACTTAAAGGTAGTGTTTTTTGCACTAATGCGTGAGAATTCAAAATTTGATACTTGCCAAAGGGATTTAGCTCTAATGCACAAGCAACTGGGATTTCAATAGCATATGTTGTACAAAATATATAGTTTTCTTAAACATGTTATATTCTCTCGTTTGGTTTTTTATTCTTAGTTTTAATTGCATCGGCTAGTCTTTTCAGGAAGAGTAAATGCTTGATTTTGTTGCTGGAAGGCCTCTGCTCATCCTTGATTTTTCAGCCATTTCCTCAGTTTTCTTTGTGTTTAACAAAATTTTTCTTATTTTCTTCCTGCTGCAACCTCTTCTGCTTTAACATGCTTCTATACCTACTGCTGGAGAAGTTTGTTCCTTCACAAATACTGGGCATGCACTGGCTCCTGAATGTACCTGAACCTGCTCCAGTGTTGGTCAAGTCTTGTCTTGAAAGAGCTCACACTTGGTGCCATCACAACACACTGGTAGATTGTTCCAAGAGTTTACAACCCTCACTCCGAAAAAGTTTGCCCTCATGGTTTTCTGGACTTGCTGCTTCTTCAATTTTGAGATGTGACCCCTTGTGGGGTGAGCGTCTGCCAGCTCCAAGTAAGGACACTCAACCAAGCAGTGCCCCCTGAGCTGCTTATACACCTCAACTAGGTCCCCCCCTTGCCCGTCTGTAGTATAAGCTAGGCAAATTCAGGCGTTCCAATCTCTCAGGGTATCTGAGGTGCCGAAGTGCAGGCACCGGTCTGGTGACCTTCCTTTGAACATTTTCAACCAACTGACAGTCCCTGGCATATCTCGGGGACCAGATGGGGCGACAGTACTCCAGATTGGGAAGCACTTCACTCCTGAAGATCGTTACGAGGGACGGACCTTGTAGATATCTGAACGACCTTCTTATAAGACCCAATAATTTATTTGCCTGATATACCCTGGTTGTGATTTTGACTTGAACACACGTCAATGTAAGTTTAACACAAACTAAGAAAGAAATAATCACTATTGGTAAAGATGTTCAATGGAATTTAAGATGCTTAATCCTGATATGTACAGCACTGTGTAAACAAAACAATGCTCCAATTATCCCATTTGCTCACTCATTTATTCTCATTGGGATTCAGTCTGCCATTTCCTTTTTCAAATTTCTTGTTTGTGTAAATACATGTATTAAATTGTTAGTGCCAACATTAACTCCTGTCACGAAGGTTGTATTTAAACCTCTTCATATCCACTAAACTTAAAATAGCCTCTTATGCCAACTTGTTACCATTTTTTAAATTTCTCTTGCAGTAGTGTTTTTCTTATTTAACTATACAGTAATTCAAATATGATTTGCAGTTGGAGCAACAAGTCCAGCCATCACTACTGAAGTGGATGTGAACCAGTCACTCCATTTACAAAATCATGGTCACAACTTTTGTGTTCAAGTAATACCTGTGGCTTCAAGTTCAGTGCATTAATGAATTCACAAATCTTGTCTGAGATTGGCCACATAAGACTTGCAGCAGAACTTGCCTGCAATAGAGGCTGTGTGGACATTCTGTTGCAGGGCACAACTTTGCAACCTGTACCCTCCACCTCCTCTCACAAGAAAAAGAGAATAAGGTCATTACTTAATGACAACCTGTATATTTCTCCAGCCATTATGAAAAATCTTACCCTTGAACAGCAAGAAATGTAACAAGCTGTGTAATGGCTGCGACCTATTACTGATTTCTTGTTTGTAATGTGACTAATTACTATATTGTATAATGGTTGCAGACCCATCATGTATATAATGCTTACGCCAACAAATGTGTGATTTGTAACAAATACAATTTATAGAAGCAATTATTTATTACACCTAAAATATATTACAAACACCATTCTTAATGATAAATGAGAATTTGAAGTATACTGTACATGCATGTTGCAAATACACTATATATGTTGAAAATGTGATTCTTGTACTATCATGGACAAAAGTTCGCCCCCTGTGGTGAAACCGAGTCACAGGCATGAGTCTCCGAACTGACTTACCCTGACTATCATCTGGTGCGGGCGTACTGTTTTATCTCATTTGGGGTCGATACTGCTTCAGTTTGGGAGGGAGCAAACTTTTGTCCACGATAGTACACTTATTTGAGAATTAAATAGGAACAATACAGTAAGTTCCGGCCTTTCCTCGCTCATTGCTGTGAATGGGTTCATACAATCAGGTACAATTCTGTGGATTCGTCTTCTATGTCATCTTAGCACTGCCTCCATCCTTGCCTGTGTCTCTTCTATTATTCCCAAGATTCCAGATCGAAATTGCAGATTCATTTATGTACTGTACACTGCAATTCACTTTCTCAAGCGCCACTGTCCGACCTGTTAGTTACAAACATAAGGGAAAAATTAATTTTCACAGATTTCCAGGGTAATTTTGAGATATTATAACTAATGTAATGCAAAATTATTAGTTCATAACTATTGAGTTCCGATCAGATGGTAAAATAGGCTGAGGGCTATTAGGCTGGGCCACCTGGCAAAATGGCCTACAGTCATATACAGCAGAGTTGTTTGTTTTGTTCAGTTGGGTAAAGTATATCTAAGACAAAAAACTATAACCCACCCTACTGTATACTAACTGTAGGCTATTTACCAGGCGACACCGCTCAATAGCCCTCGAGCTATTTTAATGTCCAACCAAGCTCAATAGCCACTTCCAAAATATTTCTGTGCTGTTCTTTCAACTGAATAAATATAGGATATATCCTGATGTTCCATGAATCTGACAAGTTTTAGGCGAGTTCTCTGCATTGGTGTTCAGTAAACATCATAAATATACAGAATTATCTGACTAATACCAAGACAAATCATTCATAAAGGTATCTTAAAAAAAAAAAAAAAAATAATGGTGTTACGGTATGGAATGAATAAGGTATATTAAGTGTTTATAATGATGTATTGTACTCTTTTGAAAGGTACAGGGTGTATGACTACAGAAGTATTATACCTTACCTAACCTACATTTTTGGATAGGTATTTTAAGTGGTGAAATACTCTTATTCAGTTTTGTGCATGTTACTTTCTAAAAGTAACGGCCTTACCATTACTCGGTAGAAAATATAACACTATTACCACTGCCGTTACTTATAAAAAACTAACGAACTACCATTACTTTTTTATGTACTGTACACAATATTAATTGATGTGATCCCTCATTATCAGTTATTTCTGCTAATTTTCTGTAAAATTCTACTATCCCATAACCATCATATTTATACAATGCTTCAGCAGATTTTTCCGCACTTACTCCATAAACCTAACGACTGTTTCTTGGGCTTCACAGCATTTATATGCATATTGTACTGTAGTACAGTACAGTAGATAATTGTGATTTACTGTTAATGACTCTACACTTATCCAGCCTTTATAATATTTATAAAATAAAATTAACTATATTTAATATATCATCATAATTTTGGCAACTAAGATATAAAGTAGCATATTTATTAAAATCTGATAGATTAAAGCTCAAAGATTATCGAGAAATACTCAAATAATAACTAATACTGAACAGTAATTCATCAAATCATAAGATTATTAATGAATGACCGCATAATACTACTACAACCCCCTGTACTTCTATATTTATCTCGCATAAACTAAATACCATAAGCTATAGCAAATCTTTCGTAAATACTATAAGCAAACAGTTCTCTGTTGCCTTAAACAGGGATGGATCCGGGGGGGGGTGTCCCTTTTTTTGTATAATAAAACGTAATTACTATTGACATCAGAATATCTCCTAATATCAAGTGTACATGGCCTCAAAATGCACATGATATTGGTTAGATTTAAAAAATATTTAAGGGGGACCTCGCTGTTCTAGCCCTGTTCCGCCCACAACCTCCCCCCCTTCTGATATTCCTTGATCCGTCCCTATTAAAAGTAGAATTACCGAAACTAAGATGGCTGTTGTAAGTAGACACTATCCATAACAAAAGCTCGACGAAAAACATTCGTGGAACAATAAAATTGTATTTTTTTTTTTTCTGCAATTCATGACTTTCCACAGTTCTCTTAAATAATAACAAAATGAAGTTAATAAAGACCCTTTCTTAATATATTTCCAACATATGTAATTGTATTACGTTTTTAATATCAAAAGTGCAATTGTTTTCCATGCCACGCCCCCTAAATTTCACAAATGGCAACATTGCTGTGCAAGTGCCACAGGGCTCAAGAGGGAGTGATGGTTGCAAAACATGTTAGAGCATGATGGCCACTGTAATCAGCTACTCTACAGCATTTGTCCCACAGTTCATATACTGTACTTTTATTTATTCAAATATAAAAGCAATGAGTAACAATTGGAATTGTCCATAACAGTAATGCCTTACCAATATTATAAAAAAAATTCTTGAGTAACAGCATTACTGAAATCATTACTTAAAAAGTAATGCCGTTACTCTCAACACTGCCCTTATCACACCTAATGTGTTTCTACTACCTAACCTTATTTCTAGTCCAGATGTATTTCAGTAATTCAAATATCATTTACAATACTCTGAAGTCATAACACCATTAAATAATCAAACTCCATCTTTCAGTGAATTAAAAAAATAGAACCCGTTTGTCAAAGGTCTTTTTGGAAGTCTAATGTTACCAGTCAATTTTGGCTCTATCCATTTTAAGATTTCTAACCAAGAAACTCACCAGTTTATATTTTCCAGACAAAAATTTCCTTACAAAACTGGTAAAAAGTTGAATGAATTATCTTAAATGTGCTTACCCGATTCGTAACAGCATTTGTAAGATGTGATGACTCCAGCAGCTGAACAGGTTTGCACTTGACAGTAACAACATTTATAAGATGAGAGGACTCCAGCAGCTGAATGGGCATACACTTGGCAGTAACATAAAATATACTGTACAAGACACTTTTCACTATATTTATACTGTACATATTTCATGGTCAGATATATGAACTATTTATAGTTCCATGTCAATAAAAAATTTCCATAATTTTTGTCACTTTCTATTTCAATAAGTTTTGCTACAGTAACCTTGTAAAACTATTTCATAACTTCAGGGTTTCTGTAATCCAAACTTCTGCTTAACAGTTCATAAGAAAAGGAATATATTTTCATTAACAGTTTGATACACTGTCTTGTTTCAACTTGGGAAGCCATACAATTATGAACCTGTAGTTCTATACAGTATTTTGAAATTATATACAACTTATTGCCACTGAGGTTGAAAAGTCATCTCCTCAAGAACAGGTGCATTTGTTTATTGGTCCAGCATAATTCTTGAAACGATTACAATGCTGAACATTTATTACTAGTTAATATATTTTTGGTAGGAGCAAGTTTCAAGCTACACAAATCACAATTAACACACGTCATAGAATCATATACAGTAGAGCAGTTTTTACCCCACTTATCACACACTCTGTTTAGAGTCTGATTTGCAAAGTTCAAGTTTGTCTGTATCTCTTCGTTTGCGTTGCCTTTTTTTAATGAGATCTTGTGGATGTGGCATGATGTAGCGCAGCTTTTCCCAAAATTTTGCGTCACCCCACTTCACATATGTTCTCATGGAGATATACAACTGGAGCTTCTCATCAAGTTCACTTTCTGGTGGAATCTGAAAATAATAAGGTAACATATACTGTATTAGTGCATTCCCCGGAAGATAAGGACTATTGGTTTTTTCAGACAGGTGGTCCCCCCCTTTTAGTTTGCTTTTTTGATGGTTAACTGTATAGATATAAAATTGCAGACAGCAGATCCTTAATCAACATGTTCAGGAGTACACACACAAACACTATCATTTATAATCGAAACCAAAACCAAAACACACCCAATATTTTTACACATACACACTCACATGATTAAAAACATATGCACACAGTCACACACAAACTTATTTAAAAATATATATGCATCACTTACCTCTCCATAAACAATAACTATCAACCTGTTAGTTTTATCTTGCAAGGCTTGAGAGTGAGCGGCCTTGAATTCTAACTGGCCCCACACACTCTCGATGAAATTTGATGAAAGCACCACAATTGTTCGTCTACTGGCCTCCACACTCTGCATTATTTGGTTCTGAATGTATTCTCCTGGGATCCAGTCACGATAGTGGAGACAAACTCGGTACTTGGGATCGCCACATTCAAGGCCAGGCACCAAAATTTTGTTGACAAATTCCTCATCCTGTAAAGGTATAGTACTGTATTAATCATTGCCTATGCAAAATCTCCCTTAAGTAGCTATATTTCTTGACAACACAGCATCATATGCCTATCCAAGGAACATACAATATACATTAAAATTAAGATACAGTAAGCTTTCCCAATATCAGACTAATTCGTGTAAGCCCTGTCCCTTAATGAAGGATTCCTTTATTGGGAGGGTTTACTCCACCCTGTGTATACATTAAATAATACAGTATTCCCTTTCCAACTGCAGGGGTTAGGTTCCTGAAAAGCCCCATGGTTGGCAAAATCTTGGATGGAAAGGACTTGGGACCTATGGAAAATTAGGGGTTAAGTTACCAGACCCCAAAGGGCATGCGCCCGAGTCCTATAATATTGTATTAATTTTATGGTAAAATAAACGCATATAAATTGCAATAATGAAAGGTTAAAAAGAGCAAAAATTATACAAGTAGTGTACACACTACATTGCAGTTTCCACTGACGCTGGTGCCTGGCTTCGACACTTGCCTTGGCAACACAGCCCAGCTGGGATAATGCTATTCCACATACCACTAGCAACAGTGCTCAGTGCCGCATACCCCCTGACCTTGCCACACAGCTTTCTAGTGGAAACCCATGGATACTTAAAATTTTATACCGTGTAACCAAACAGGAAATATCAGCTTTCATAAATAAAAGGAGGATTATATACAATACCTGTACTTAACCTTAGTGTGACTATTATTAAGTGGTTGTTTTAGCCAGTACAGTACAGTACAGGTACTATGATGTATATAAACATACTGTTGCTACATCTCAGATAATGCACCAGCCACTGTACCATGTGTAAATACTGCAGAAGGATCTCTGCGAGCTCCAAGAATGGTCGAAGAAATGGCTGCTAAGATTCAATGTTACGAAGTGTAAGAGGATGCACCAATGGTAAGGAGGCATATCATATGTCCCAACGGGTCGAAGAAACTGTATTAATTGAGACTGAAGGTGAATAGGACCTAGGTGTTTATGTTGACAATGAACTGACCAGGTTTCCCTCTACCCAATCCACATACTGCTCTACACTAACCATGTATACTCTCTTTATTGTATTATCTTCTCTGGCATCCCTCTCACCTATCCATACCCTCTCAGCAAACTCTCCTCACCACTCCACAATTTACACCCTCGGCCTTCTCTACCATTCCAAATACTGTATGCCATATGCTTCAATAGTTCCTACCCCTCCAAGGAAACTAACACCTGTATTGTTAGCAGGCAGAAACCGAACGGATGACTGTGTAAGGGAGCGTATTTATATTGTAATAATAATAATAGTACAGTAATGATAAATCACATCACTTCTTTTGTTTGAAAGCTCAGTCCACATACCTTGTGAGAATAACTAATGAAGGCATCATACTTCTTGTCAGCATCCATCTCATCTTCTGTGACGGCCCATAAACACACACGATGTGTGAATAACCACACTTTGATTCCTTGTTTGTATTTGTAAAAACTGACTGTCCCTGGAATGAAAAATTTAGGGCTGAACGACTCATCTAAACAAATATGTCCTCACAGCAAATATTAACCATAAAATTTCTTACATTTCACAACCTGTTTGAATCTCAGGACATAATGACAAACCAACCGAGACAAGGACTCAAATTTGAGACTGTCCCGGTTAGATCGGGATATATGATAAGCTTTTACTATTTGTAATTAGCTTACACTGTTTATTGGTTCAGTATTCTTCTGGGACAACCAAAGGAAGGGGGTTACAGACACCTTGGCTATGGTCCTGTATTGAACTGTGGACCTTGTCTAAGTCTTTTGGTTCTTCACATGATTATCAAAGTCGTCAGTGTAAAAGCATGCAATTCCATGACACCTACATACAGATTGATCTGTAATCCAGATCTTTATTTTAAGAAAGGCAAAAATATAAAATTACATACTGTTGATGTAAGGTTCTACTAGAGATTTCACCAAAACACTATTTAGATCAGTGAGGTATAATTCAGCTTTTACTAAAGTAAAATGAACTAATCAACTTCAGTACCATGCAAAAATCATTATAGTAATTCCAACAAAGTAATATTTATCTTCTTTTTTTTTAATACAGACTTTCCAGATGCATATGTATCAACTGTTACCCAATTTTTAGAAGCAAACATTTTAAACATACATGATGATGAAAGAATCCATAATTTTTTTATTTTTTAATAAGTAAACTGCAGAACCTGAAAACAAAGTCATTAATGGTATTCTTATATATTTGAGAAAAAAGTGTGAGTCACTTCTGAGATACCTGTATTGGTTATTTTTCCTTCTTAAAAAGTGAAGTATCTCTTTCACAATTTGAGACTACTGCACTGTAACTAGTACTGTACTCACCAAGTACAGCAAAGAGAATGAGGAATATCAAGATGGCAACAATGGTGACAATGACCATGGGCTGCATGAAGAAGGGGCACAGCGAGTGCTCACTAAGGGTGATAAGAGGTTCATCTTGATCTTTACATCGAATGTCATCGAAGTCATCAACCTGTTAATGGGTGAAACTACAGTACATTAATTTACTGTTATGGTCAAAGAGGATGTTCACACAATGTACAGTATTATTATTATTATTATTATTATTATTATTGGTATATTGTGTGAACATTCATTTCAGTACTGTATTTTTTATCTGAACTGGTTCGCACATATAATATCAGAGAAACAATACACTGTACAAACTACAAATCAACATCATGACTAACCTAACACAACCTTATTGAACTTAACTAAATCTACCTTAAACTTAGCTAAAATTTATTTTATATCACATCAATACCTTAACTTTTACTGTACCTTGCGTAGTGGGACGTACAGGAAGTTCAGGAAGTCAATAAGATCACAGTTGCAAGTCCAAGGATTATTTCCAAGGCTGAGGTGCATGTCAGTAACATTCAGGAATTTTAACAAGGATCCAGACAGAGATGTGAGGTTATTCCCGCATATGTTCAGAACTTTCAATTTTTCCGGAAGATATGACTCGTTGATGAAAGACAGTTTGTTGTTAGGTATTGTCAAGTTCACCAGTCTTCTATAGCTAGGATCTTGCAATGCATCTAAACTTGTGATACTGTTATTCCTCATATTTATGGTAATGGGAGAGTTTTTGTAGCCATAGTTATCAAAATCAATCTTTGGTATCTCACTTCGACCTTGGTATGAGCAGTCGACGATTATCATACTATCACTCGAGCGCCAGTAACATGTACAGTTATCACAAGGGAGTAACATTTTACAAGTCAGCGTTTCAGTATCCACATCCATTAATTTCTTGATTTCATTTCCTTGATTTGTACATGTTACTTGATCTCCATCTTCCAGCACAATTTTAAATAAATTTCCTTTTCCAAGTGGTTTTCCATGTATTAAGTTTAAAAAATTATACATGTTACAATTGCAGAGAAGAGGATTTCCCTTGAGAGAGAGCTTAACTATTTTTTCAATCATTACTGGCCAGCTTTGAAAAAGATGTATTGACTTTATCATATTGTTCGACAAGTTGAATTTCACATGATTGTTCTGAAAGTGTAATGAACTAAATGCCACTTCCTCTATCAAATTCCCTGATAAATCAACAGCCTCGAGTTTTAAGTAGAGAGCGTGAAAAGAATGAGGAATAGTTGTTAACTTATTATCATTCAAAATTATTGTTTTCAGCTTGTCCTGTTCATCAAGTGCAAAGGAATTTCCAAGATAACCAGTGGTAGAAAATTCTATATTGTTGTTACCTAAATCTATATAAGCCAGAGCTGACCGCCGACGAAACCATTTTTTGTTCAAGACTGCCAGCTGATTATGGTTCAAATAAAGTGTTTGTAATGATTCACACCTCTGAAACAATTCGTCAGGTAGACTAATTAAGCTATTGTTTCCTAGATTAAGTGTCTTCATTTCTCTATTATTATCAAAGCTTCTGGGTTCCAAAGCAGTCAGCAAATTTGAACTAAGGTCCAGAGTTGTCAGCGCTGTCATGTTGTAAAATACATCATGAGGCAACCTTTCCAATTTATTTCCACCGATGTTTAGAATTTGTAAGTACTTCATGCCTACAAACAAACTCCTTTGGATGTTAGAAATGTAATTATTGTTGAGGTTTATATTCACAAGATGGGGTTGATTGGAAAATAGTTCTGATCTTATTTCATTCAATTCATTATTCTGTAAATCAATTATAGTTAGCCTGGTTAAATTTGCAAAGAGATTAACAGGTACACTTGCCAAGCCATTACTGGATAGGTCAATTGTTGTTATTTCCAGTAAGCTTGAGAATAAAGTTTCTGGAATTGTATCCAAATTATTGTATGTAAATTTGAAGAACTTCAGTTTTGGAGTAGCATTAAATAAATTCACTGGAACGCTACTAAAGTTATTATTTATCAGTTCTAAAAATTCCAAATTATTCAGACGGTTCAGGTGCCAATCCTCTGTGTTGGCTTCAGGCTGCCGTACTCCATCAATGAATTTTAATTTAGTAATATTTTTCGGGTATAAACCAACTTTAAGTACAGCTTCAGCAAGGGATGAACTTGGGAATGGACATCCACGAAATTCAACTTCATTCACAGAAGGAAAGTGACAATCTTCAATCAGTGAATAGTCTATTACTCCTCTCGCTGATTTTTGGCAGTCCAACTGAAGAATGCGATTTGATAATAATTTCACTGTGTATTGTTCTTCACTTATTGAATTTGGACAAATCATGGAGTGTGTTCCCCTTTCACACTGTCCACAAGATATAGCGTTGGTGGTCCCGCCCGCCGCCCAAGCCCATAGTAGGAAGGCGGGCAGGAACATCCGTGATGACATGGTGTCAGGTCACGCTCAGTCAGCTGGTCTTAAGGACGCTCATCAAATTTTCCTCCAGCAAAATTCAGTCTCACCACCACAACCTGAAAAGAAAAGGGAAGGAGGTGAATAAAATATAAACAAAAGAAGTAAATATGATCTCAGTACTGGAGTTCGTAACAATTGCAGTTATTATTGTACGGTCTCTAGCTAGAGATACGGGGGGACATATTGTGCAGGCGTATATTTTAAATCTACAGCATCTCAGTCACTAACTTCATACAATATTAACATTGCACAATCATCTGTAGGAATATAGTAAGCATTCAATCGTTTACTATACTTTAACGGCAAGCAACTAATGACTGTCTATTAAATCATAACTTGCGACATAAACGAAATCTTGTTTTTTTCAATTATAAAGAGATTCTCAAGATTATGAATGAGGTGTTTATTTTATTGAAGTAAATGCATATTACACGAACTATGTTCGTAGGAGTGCATCTTACAGTCAGACTGTACACCAATCTCGCTGGACGATGTGCAATTGAATATTAAGTTATGAATATATATATATATATATATATATATATATATATATATATATATATATATATATATATATATATATATATGGGAACCAGTTTACACTTGCAGTTTATTTCTCTCCCTTTTAATAATCTCAATCCAAAATAATACTATAGTGGCTGTAAAACCTATATTTATTCATTTTTCTGCATTAACGTGAATTTATATTGTCAGGAGTCGCAACAAGTCCCCCCACCCGCCCCTCAACAACATCCTGTGCGTATACTGTGATAAGAAAGGTCACTTAGCACGTTCTTGCCTTACACTGTACACACATCTAGTAGTTATAGTACGCATGCAACAACCAATGGTAAAATTGCAGTTTCATAACCAACTGGTTTTAGACCAGAAATCTAGGTTTTTTCCCATGGTATTTGTTTTTGTTTTACGGGGATTAGCTCACCCGGGCACAGGTCACTGACCCACATCAGGGTCTTGGGGGCGAAAATATAATACTGTAATAATACTAATAATTAATAAAAATAAATAAAAATTATAAATCAAAATAAAATAATCAAAATAAAATAATAATAAAAATAAAAATAGTAATAATAATAATAATAATAATAATAATAATAAATACAAAAATGAAAAAATAAATCATGAGTGAGAAACGATATGCAGTATGTATGTTGTCACTAGTAAGATAAACAATTTGACCTTCAATTCTATTGAAAATGAGTTGTTTTTGAGTTATCATCCTCAATATTAAAATAAATAAATAAATAAATAGAACCTGATCTAACTTGACCTACCTTCCTAGCAGGAGGCTCCGCCCCTCTGACCCCATTATTTTGATATCTGGTACCAATGAAAACAACTTTGTTGAAGCAATGTGGTGTAATTTTACGTTTTTTTTTGTGGACCTAAGAATACACACTGACCAAGCGGGTCAGTTTTACGTGAATTTACCATCACAGTTATTATCCATTTGTGACGGAAGTGGTATTAGACAAAGTTGTTGCAATTGATGAGATGTTGCATCCGATGAACCCAAAATTCTTCTAACCCAATTGGGAGTGAAACTGCAATAATACCCAATCAATAAAGTTATTATATAAAACTAAATGCTACAGTACCTGCAAAATCCTAACGTGAACTACTACAAAAATAATCTCAGACAAGGTTAAGCTGCAGATACGCCCACTGAATACTTATTTACTCACATCCACATCCACCGAGCCAAGGTTTACCTGCACACATTCGAAGGAAACTAACTGGGGCCTCGGGGCCATAAAATTTACAGACTCCAATCATGATTCTCGGTCATACATATCACACTTCACAGCCACATGATTTAACTCCTTGACTATGATGACTTGACCCCTTGAGTACAATATCACCTTATTCGTGAAAACAGGTCACCGACTCACCGTACTCAGTCATAATAAATGAAGGTGTCCGATCATGATAATATAAGGGTTAATATAACCTAATCAATGAGTCATGATGGTTAGAGACAACAACACAAACTTGGGTTATTATACTGAGGCAAGGAAAATTCTGAGGCTGCGTGGGAGGCGAGGCATTAACTTCACCTAAACATACATACCCATACGGGAAAACAAAATAAAACTACAACTTTGAGATAACACAGAAAGTATTAATAGGGTGCAGAGAATTTATAATAAACAGCTTCCACAACGGTTCGTGACGTCGCTCAGGCAAAAAATATAAACACCATGAAAAAAAAAAAACAGCGAGAAACTTCCTGACACCCGACACATAATACATTAATAAATATTCACTTTATCCTGTGAGGACTGATAAATGTTGGGAATTCCACCGTGAAACTACAGACAACTTACGCAACGCGGTATCCAACTAATGATTTGCAGCAATATCATACCACCCGCCATTGACAAATAACTAATTTGTCACTTGAAGGCCACAAAACATTACGATTCCAACACGTGAAATATCGTCATATGGTTTAGTAGACACAAATAATGCGACTCCTTAATGACTACGGCGCCAATAAACAAAACAATCAGACCTCAACCCACGCCAAGGAAGACCACCCTCTTCGAGTTGCCAAGTGCCTTCTGACCTTCCAATACCTTTTCTATCACCCAGAAATAAATTATCCTGTCCAACATATACAGTATATATTTAAACATATCATTAACTCGCCTTCTAGACAAACAGATCATTTCATGTCTATTTTTTGTTGGTGTAGTTGACCCGGCCCGGAGAACTTTACAACTAATGCGTTGCAGTGTGAAGTGACGTCACAATTACTACGAGTACGGAGTGGAACGAGAAGGAGTACTCGGGAAATCCCACACGAGAACACCGGGATATTGTATATATTATGTTTTGTTTGTTGTTATTGAAGCCAATATAAAATTTGCATAACAATGGGGAAATTTAAATGCAAAAAGAAACATTAATAGTTTATGTCCGCCAAAACCATGTACCATTAGTTACACTACACTACATCAATCATTCAAAAGGTTGTTTAAAGAACTTAGAACCCGCCCAGCTACATGATGACAAAACCCTTTTTAGAGCTATTTATATCTTACTGTAGGGGGGAATCGAGCAACAGTGAGCAAGCATTTGCAATCGGCTGCAATTGTGATTAGTGACGAGTGAGTGACTGGTATGAGTTGACTAGAGGCAGAGCAGCAGCTTGATAAAATAAATGACCTATCGACGAATCTCTACCCACTGTTGTCGTTCGTAACTAACAATTCGTACCGATTTACTACTTGTCGGTAGGTATAGAGGAATCACGTGACCATATCAACAAATTCATTTTTGTTTTCTTTTCAATGTTCCACAAACTGGATTCTGCTCTTTTTGCTTTTTTGCTTTTTATTCGGGAGGAAAGTGTGTTTTCACGAGGGGGAAATAAACCACCATTTTTAACAATAAGATAAAAATATAATAACAACCAAATAAATACAAATAACATCACCAATCGAACGGTAAGCTCAACATGAACGTACAGAAAAATATTAATCATCTCTTATTTCAACAATACTGTACCCCGGTATATTTAGTTCAATGTTCGCCCCTCCCTCCCCGTGACAAATTTCTGGGTACGCCACTACAATACATAGCACAAGCCACACAAAATTCACTCAACTTCTTGACGTAACATAAAGCGCCGTGATGGAGTGGCGTGGTATATCCATTACCCAGTGAGACAGCTGTGACAGGAGGGAGTATGAAGGCGTTTGGTGCTGTCAGGGGAGGATCACACACTCCCCTTCCCTCCTCACCTTACCACTTTAATTTCTCACAGTTCTTCAGTTCAATATTCACAGATGCAAGAAGAACTCCTTTACGATAATGGATATTCGTAAGTGTACAGTTCCAAAAGGACCTACAATTTGTTGGCAGATGTTTAACGAAAACTAAATGTATCTGTATGTATCACTGGCGTTATGTATATAAGTTCTGTACATGTAAAGATTTAGGTATAAAGTACGGGTACTGTTGCGGACAATATATCAATGGCACTTTGCTTTACATTATCTGGCCTATACTGTACTTGGGGGTCATTAGGTGAGGGCAGAGTGGAATGTAATTTTAACGATTTTTTTTCGTAATTTTTTATTTAATTTTTTGTTTAATGAGGAATGTTTTCCTGTTTTATGTTTTGTGGTTCCGACACACACACACACACACACACACACACACACACACATAGCTGCTCCCAAGGTCTATATCTATAAACCTTAGTGGTACCACACCCATACCACGCACGGGAGGGAGGAAATGTGGAAAGGGGAGGATGGGGGTGGACGGGAGAGGAGGGATGGGCCACGGACGAGTGTGTAGTGACAGAAGTGAAAGTTGAAAGACCATATCGGGCTTGACCCCTCACAGATGACCACCTACTCTACCTAACCTCCTACCCTTTTTTCCTCGCCTACCCCAGCTGATGTACCCTTGCCCTTCCCTCAGGTGCCTTCACTTTCACCTGTGGTTGACCGACTGGAGGAGATTCCCACCAAACATTTCCTAGTTCAGCCTAACTATTCCTGGCCTTCAGCAGGCAAGTCAAAACAATTCCCACTCTAGTCTAGCCTAGTCAAACAACCCCCTTCCATAACCTGATTGAATAATTCTTATCGAAGTATAACCATTCCTAAAAATAAGAATTACAGATCTAGTTCTAGCCTAGCCATTCCTAACCTAACCTAACCTAACCTAATAAATCGAAACCCAACCAAACCTAAGAAAACCACCCTTAACATATTTAAGGGACATATATAGGCGGACGAACTCTTCATACGTGCACATCGCCCACACACACACACACACACACACACACACACACACACTGTATATATATGGTTGCCCCTCGTGTACGAGGATGGCCAGTCCAAGGGCCACCTAAGCGTGAATGTGTTTAAGGTGTAGAAGCTGTCGCCAATACAGCAACCACACCTAAGTTAACGAGCTGCATGACCCAGTGTCAAGGAATAGACCGAGAAGACCGGACAATTCGCCAACTGCACCGGCTAACCACTATCCCGGAACACGATCTGCAAATCGTTTG